AACATTATAAAAATGTTGGAAATAGAAATCCTGAATCCAATACGAAACGACTGCAGGAGTTTATAACAATGGCGACCACTATATAATTGACTGTAATTTCAGTCAGTCCATCGATGTGCGCAAGATGGATTCATGCAAACATAATACAATCTCATCTCTTCCTAAAAAGAACTTTCCTGGTGACAAATTCCAACCAAAATGTAATTGAAGTTATGACTAAAAAAAGCATATGAATCATGTGAAAAAAAAAAAAAAAAAACTAATCGAAACATACTTCAGCTCTCCTAGATTGGGCCTGGAAAAATACAGCTTCTCTTCCCCGACACATTGGACAGGGATGATCCTCGGTTTTCGGTAATGTTGGATCATGCACAACATCAGCCACAATTTGAGTTAATTCACTTAAAATGATTAAAAATAAAAGAATGCATAAGTAAATATCAGATAAGTGAGGAGATAAGTGAATCAAATCCAGACTGAAACTTACTCCACTTCATGCATTAATTTGTTGACATAAATGCAAGGATTCTCGGAAAGCTGTTTATGATCACAATTCCGACATGCATATAACAACTGCCTATTCTCTTTGTCCTCTTTTGGATATAACATATTATTGCTGAAATAAATTTCATCAAATAAGGCATAAGTCATCAAATAATATAGATACATTGCTTCGGATACTCAAATTCAAAGTGAGCTTATTATTCATTGCAATTGGATGCAAATATTTGTTCCACAATCAAACTTCCACCTCTTAATCCATTTAAAATCCAGATAAAGAACTTACCATTCTGGACAAAACTTTATACCGACAAATCCAGGCTCCGAGGTCATACTTCAAATTTATGGTATACGCAATACCCAGGTTAGAACTCGCACTTCCACAATTTTTTTCTTCCAATTTTGATTTCTTCAGCTGTTTATTCTAAATCTGTTTTATCTAGTTCAAAATAAAGTGCCTAACTAATGCAGTCAAGCACAGCGCGAATTGCGTAACTAATTTCTTACAATTACTTTCAAAACCCAACATTCATTCTCCTGCTTATGACAAGTACTTACAAGTATTTCATTTCGATGTTTGAAATATTTCAACAAAGAAGGAAAGTAACAGCGAAAAGGAAACACTGTCTTTACCACCAGCCTCACTCTGACTTATATACCACTAATAATGCTATCAATTACAATGACTGGACATGATTAAAAAGATTAAATGAATGATTTTAAATGATGATAAGCTTGTCAGCAACAAATAAAAGATCCAGTAGCAGCATATCAATGAAGAAGTGCCTGATACGGTGTTCTCCTCCAAGCTACACTACGTTTTCATTTTATAGCATATAAAAGAAATTCTTTTCACTTATACACAACTAATATATGAAGCACGACATATCTCGACGTGGAATTAACATATACTACAACCATTCTGCTGATGATAAGATAGGAAATCAATAACGGCTACACAATATGATAATCACGAGTGTTTAAACAATGGAAAATAATCACAAACTATCACAGGGAACATTTTGAATATTAAGGAAAGTGCCAACATTCTCACTTTTGTCTTTTCTGCACATCGAATGCTTCAGTCAAAGAATCTTCTGTTTGGATTCTCACCAAACAAAGCTACACGAATTTGAGGTATAATCTGCAATAATTTTTCTCTATTAGACAAAACTACAGCGATTAAAAAGTTTAAAGATTATGATTTAAATATATTTCAATCATCCAAAATATGGTTATATTAAGCTACAAAACGACACTAATATGAAACTAAAAAAAAAAAAAAAAAGAAATAGAAAGTTCGGGCGTTACTATGCATTGTATAAATCCATCTTTACAATGCCATGGAGTTGAATCTATTCTTCTGCTCCGAAAATATTGGCTTACCTGAGCAGCAATCAATTCTAGACGAGATTCCAATGTCGACGAAACTTTTATCTTACCATTTTTCGCTGAAAGTTCTACTCCACCAGCACTTTCATCCGGCAAATATTCGCTCGTGTCAATTCTCACCTAAAGAGGACGTACAATACCCTTAGCAAAGCAAAAGAGATTGAAACATTATACTCCTTAAAACCCTGATAACTTTAAACACAATAAAACATACAATAAGAAAGATATATTTGCATGCTTAAGAAAAACAGGAACAAATAAGATCACTATTCTTCATAAATCATTATAGAGAAAAAAAAAAAAACCTTTGTGCGTTCACCCCACTGTTGCTCAAGTTCGTCGAGACATTCCGGCAAAAGTTTTTGCACTGATAGTTCATCTTTTTTGCGGCAGCGTAATGTAACTTCTGTTTCCAACAATTGGAATAATGCCTACAAAAGTTAGAATACTATTTCGATGATTCACGAGCAAAAATTCTAAATCAAATTGTATTTGAGAAAAACAAAAATACCTGCAGAATTAAGCCTTTTAAGATTGATGGATATTTAGTGGAGTCCCCAGAAATTCGACTTAAATTCAAGCGCGCCTCTTCAATAACTTTATTCAGATGATCTTCGCGTGCCTGTAAATGAAAATATTAAATGCGGTGATAATATCATAATGTAAATGGCAACCATTTCCGTCCATACTCCAAACAAAATGACATACCTTATTTAATACTTCTCAAAATAACTTTTCCAATTATTTCCTGGAATATGTTATGACCAAAAGCCAAAAAGACCAAATTGCATTCTTACTTTTAAGCACTTTAGGCGTCCCTGATTGAGCATGTTCGAACTCTGAATTTTTCTTTGCAGTTCCACCTGCTTCTCTTTCTTGTCATAGTACTCCAAAATCTTTGTTCGCTGTTGTTGAACAAGGCGACCCTAGAAACTACGTATAAATGGAAAATTTTAAACCGAATTTGTTCAAATAATCATTTTATAATCACACGCTATTTTCATAGAATGATTACTCGTATGACTATTGCTCAAGCGAGACATGTATCTTATAATGAAACATCCATAATCAATCAAACATCAAACCACTTTATTGCGGCATAACAACGACAATACGTTTTATACTTTGAATAATCAAGCCGAAAAAAGAAGGATTTAGAAGTTCTTAATATTTAATTTATTTTCGCATTTCGATTAAATCATAAAAAAACAAGATGTCATAGTTTTTGCCTTTTCAATATTAAATTCCTCTTCCGCTTTTGCGTCAACTTCTTCTGCTTTTTCAATCGCTTCTTGCTCAATGAATGCGATCATATGTCGTAGTTGCTTCTGCACATCATTATCTGAGAGCCCCATTTCCTTTCTCCAAGAAGTACCTGAATTTTCAATCAAAATTTTTTACCATAAAACGCACAAAGCATGACGTGATTGACAAGCAATAATAAAGATTAAGCAACTCTTATGTATTCAATGATGTCTTATGTATCATTATTAAAATCTTATGTATTCAATGACGAGTAAGTAATTTGATTCAGTGAGCAAGCAATCTGAAAACAAGAATCTACGAAGAGTATATTCAACCACATAATTTTGAAATACCCATAACAAACATAATAATCAGTTCTGCAACTGAAGCATGGCGCTGCTAGCCAAATAGCATAAGTAACATAGTATCAAATACGTGAATTACCGTAACACAGATGAAACAAGTAAGATAAGGAAGAAATGCGTTGAATTAATACCCACAAGGTTATGTGACGCAGACGTGCGACTACACTACGACAGCCACGGACAATACCACACCGAGCATTCCGAACAAGAAGCAAAAGATCAGAAGCCGAAGAACATACGGCCGTAGCCGTTGTTTACGGCACACAATGCAATACTTTACAATCCATCCAGTGCACAACAATGTTTCATAAAAGAAGGGGCATTTTGAATTTTATTAGCACGTTTTTGCATTTCCGAATGTCATACCTGCAAGCACTATGTTCACGGAATTTGGGAATTCCTATTTGAGATGATTAAAAGATGTAAATATATCAAGGAAGTGATAGTGATCTAGTAACCGAAATTAGAATCAACTCCTTGTAGATTATTCTTATTGTCAACAGACATGTCTCTGTATTATTAATTAGAAAGAGAACTTTGAAATACACATTTCTCTTACACATCCGTTACTTACATGTTTTGTTAATAGTGATATGAATTAATATGGTATGTTCTGTGAAAAGTTGAGCAATTCATTGAAAAATAAATGCAATTTTTACAACCTTTCATAAATATAATTTTTTATTTATTTTATTTCAGCTTTGGCACATCGACATGGAAGAACCAAAATATTGATTTTATCATTTCCGATACAGCACTGGCATACAATGATTACTGATATGTGATACTATAACTCTCATACATTTTCAACTAAACAATAATTTAGTAAATGAAACAAACTGTACAATCAAACAAAATTTTCAGTGATGCAATGAGATAGGAAGAAATTCCCTTACACAACTATTTACTTCCTTCCCATTTTCAGGGAATCCTTATTTTCTAAAATGACTGTTAGAAGATCTTAAAGCAACAAAACTTACAAATCTTGATGAATTAAGATTGAATTAATAAGTAGAAGTAAGCAGTTATTTCTCGCCTCGATTTACATTGCAAGTCGCTTTAAATATTTCAATTGAAATTTCAATAACTGATTAACTGATACATTAATAATTGCAATGAAACACTGTTCAACACTAAATGTTGTCCGATCTACTTTAATTAGAGAAGATATTTTTCAAAGAAATTTTATTTTTAAATTGGTTGAAGTTGTTAGTGATAAATGAATGCTAGACAGCTAATAGCTATTTATCTGTTTTAAATGTTCCATTGAATGAAATGAAATATCCTTAATCATTACAGCAAATTCAATTTCAAATTAAACTGTTTCACGAGGCATTTAAAATCATCACCACGGATTACTGCCGACCTCTCCTCCATTGCTGAAAATGACATAAATATTATAAAATAAATATTAATAGCTGTTAAAATTATACAGTAAGTATTATTAGCTGTTATTTCAGAGAGTCCAACTAGGTTCGAAGTGCAATAATTAAAGACTTACTGAATTCCTTTCGGACAAACTAGCTTCGTATAGGGCCCATAACAAATATGTGCGTAAGGTGGACAATGGCAGTGTTGGTGCGGATGCCACGGACATGATAAAAGCTTCCAGCAAACGAAAAAATTTTCAGGACTTGAAACTGTGCTACTGACCATCGATGTTTTTAATTCTTGCGTTAAATCAGAAGTTGAACCTATTGTCACCATTGGGAAGGGAGGAGCTGTTGACACGGGAGAACCTATTGACGGAGGAAAAGCTGTTGACACGGGAGAAGCTGTTGACACAGGAGAAGCTGTTGATACGGGAGAAGCTGTTGACACGGGAGAAGCTGTTGATACGGGAGAAGCTGTTGACGCGTTTGTTGGTGTAGGAGTTCCTGCAAATCATTTGTATTTTATGAACTTGTCAAAAATTTATAGATAAGCATTTTGATTAGGTTGAATTCCGAAAATATTTTGGAGAGTTACTATAATTTTGAAGATCAGTGATAATGATTTATTATCTCATTTATAACTTCGAAGTTAAATCTACGATTTATTGCTTTCAATCCAAATATTTACATTCTTATTCTATACATATATATATATATCCTGAGAAGTACTAGCCGTATAATTAATTCAGTTATTTATTGCTTAATGATAAGAAAGTCGGCAATATCATAGTATGTTCAAACTAAACTTACCGTTTTGGCCCAATATAACTGTTGACAAAATTCCAATTATGATTGCCAAGAATAGTGGAAAGAACATGCCGTCTATATTTCGATTAATTTTTAATTTGGTAAGTTTGATATATATGGAAAAGTTAATATATAGACTCACAATATAAATGACCAGAATATTTGTGTATGAGATTTATATCAAGTTGTTGTTTATATTTTCGAAAAGTATTATATTCTGATAAAACTATTGATCCGATTAATTCAATCGCTGTCTCAAAAATTATCATAACGAATTTACCAATTGCAAAAATTATCCATGTTAATTATTGTTGATCATTTTGAATGTTATTTTAGCGCCCAGTTTCTTGAATATAGAAACGCATTTATAATAATAATTTTTAATTTTGGTAATTGCTATGCAGTTTGAGAAATAATCCGTTCGAAGGTTGAAGTCAAAAAATTATATGTGCTACCACTGATCACGAGGTATGCTATAGATACCTTGCAATCTTTGGAAATATTTCTAAATTTCACTAATAATTTGATTTCAGTGATTTAAATTTCTTGAAACAGATAAATTTGAATTGTTTGCTTTGAAGTGTTATTTAAACATCACATTTCCAAAAAATCTAAACTTATGTAATTGATTTTTGCTTCCCAGCAATATGTTTCAAAATTCCGTGCAGTAAAATCTTGAATATTTTTACCATATGATAAAGCAATATTGTATATTCATATCTCTGCTTATCCAATCATATAATTTATAACTATATATTCAATTGATGATCTTTAATATATTATCTGTATGAAACATAATGATTTAAGCAGTAGATGAGTAAAAAATAAAGTATCAGAATAAGTCGAAATTCATTATTTGCCACAAAAACCGAAAATGATTTTGAAATCATTGCACTATATCCGAATAGGAACAGTCTTTGAAATAATATAAAGATTTTATAAAAATTTGTCATTTCAGGTTTTAAACGGATTATTTCACAGCTGGTGTCGGCATCAAAATTAGTTATTAACTACTAATGCCTTGTTTGTGTCCAATTGTTTTGTTTACTTCGATAATGCTACAATTTTCAGATTAAAATATCAGATGAGATTGTGCGCTAAATTTATATTTTAAACTCTCTTGCAAACATGCACATTTTTTGCAAATAGATAAATTCATTTGGTGAATTTCTGAAGCAGAACTAAATTAATCGGATCAATTTATTAAAATATATTGGAAATATAAATAGCTATAATTATTTAAATGTAAATACAATATTTACAGCAATATAAACAATGAGACATCTTCTCCATTTAAGTCTACGAGTACTGGAACCTTATGTAGTTATTCAGCGTTTATTTAACAAATTCTTAATTTTCACAAATTTTTAATTTTGTTTATTAATTTGAAAAAAATCGAAATTCGAAAATTTCATTTTCAAATAATTTACCATAAATTACTTTTAGAAAAAGACAAAACTTTTTAAGATAAATGCAAAGCAAAGCAATGATAGTTTTGGATAATTGTTAAAGTATTATTTACAATTAAGAGAACATTTGATTCTTTAATGATAAGTGAGAGTTCAGCTTCGACCACCTCAAAATAAAATTTCTTTGAAACGAAAAAATATCTTCTCTAATTAAAGTAGATCGGACAACATTTAGTGTTGAACAGTGTTTTATTGCAATTATTAATGTATCAGTTAATCAGTTATTGAAATTTCAATTGAAATATTTAAAGCGACTTGCAATGTAAATCGAGGCGAGAAATAACTGCTTACTTCTACTTATTAATTCAATCTTAATTCATCAAGATTTGTAAGTTTTGTTGCTTTAAGATCTTCTAACAGTCATTTTAGAAAATAAGGATTCCCTGAAAATGGGAAGGAAGTAAATAGTTGTGTAAGGGAATTTCTTCCTATCTCATTGCATCACTGAAAATTTTGTTTGATTGTACAGTTTGTTTCGTTTACTAAATTATTGTTTAGTTGAAAATGTATGAGAGTTATAGTATCACATATCAGTAATCATTGTATGCCAGTGCTGTATCGGAAATGATAAAATCAATATTTTGGTTCTTCCTATAAGAAATCGAACTGCTTATGAATGGATTTTGAAATGATACTACGGTGGCAGTATTGCTGCAAATCTTTCATTACAAGATGGGTGATGAAAAAAATCTCTAAAATGAACAGTTTTCTAAAATTTTCTTTTTAAAGTGCTATGAAGTCATGAATAATTTAAGTTAAAATTGAGAATTTCACAAAAAATGATATTGATCAGCGAAAAAAAAAAAAATTTATACATCGAAAAAATAAACTGTTCATATTATTGTCAAGTATCGCTTAACATTATAATGCATCAAACAAGAATGATCTGATTACATTGTTTCAAACTGACAAAATGTATGAATATTTTCTAATAAAGAAATATTTGTTTTCAGAAATAATCAATCTTTAACAACAAAAGAATTTGTGCGGATTTTTGCATGAAACACTCCGCTTTCACAGACAATCGATCATATTTGTATAGGAAAAGTGATTTGAAAATCATCCCGATCTATTGTAATCTGATTTAAGATCAATCGAAAATTTCATGGAATCATCATGCGTATTGCTAATGCTTACTTAAATGGTTCAAAAATTTTAAATTTCGATACGGTTAGAATAAGAATGTAAATATTTGGATTAAAAGCAATAAATCTTAAAACTAACTTAGAAAGTTATAAATAAGATAATAAATCATTATCACTGATGTTCAAAATTATACAGTTACCCTCCAAGATATTTTCGGAATTCAACCTAATTAAAATGCTTATTTCAAATGGTTAAAATATTGTAAACATCTTCCATTCAGATAATGGAATTTATTTGCAATAGCAAATTGTTGTAAACAATTGCACTATATAAAGGAAGATTAACTCCAAAATTATTTTTATCAACAACGCAAATTTCCTTTGTCTCGTCAATCAGTTCCTGCCGAATGGTTAGGTAAGGAAGACCATTATGATGATCAACTCTAATTTCATTTTCTCTGATCATTGTTCTATAACGTTCATAAAAATAAGCAATTCTTCTTTAATCATGATTCTGCTCTCAAATTACAAAAAAGGCCTCATCAATCCAAACAAAAAACTTTCACTACTTTCACTACACATTGCATTTTTTTTAGAGAAAGAAATAATTTCTGACTATTTGTAATTTTTTAAAAGATGCTAAATGCGAACTTTTTTTATCTTTTGTATCATTAAAGATTAATTGATTCAGACATTAAAATAACTAGACTTATTATTAAACAACATTATAATAAGTTCGGTTATTTTAATATAAAACATATCTAAGTTTTCCGAATTTAATATAACACATTGCTGAGAGCTACGCAGTATTTGCGTACTGTGAAAAATCTAAAATGTTATAACAATTCCTTTGGTATAAAATGAGCTGTTTATTTGCTATTACAATCCATTCATTATTTGAACAAGAAAATAGGAGAAAAGAAAATGCCAATAGCATTTGTACTCATTAGAAAAAAGTTCGCTACTTTTTTCGTAAAACATTGCCTTTCTTTAAGCCATGTCTATCTAATAAAGGCGCTGCATCTAGCTAATCAGATTAAGTAAGCATCTACTATTGATGGATAGAAGAGATTATAAATGAGAAAGCTCTAAATGAATAAAAGCGCCTGAGATGCATTCAGTCGTCTTCATTAATATATATGATTATTATGATTTCGCACATTTGATGTTTGAATTTTGTTCTAAAGGATACAAAAGGCCCCCTATAATATTAATTACCATATCGGTGCAAAAAATCTTCCTAGGAAAAGAAAACCTTTTCTTCCATTAAAAAAAAAAAAATTATTTTCCCTGAGATGCTGCAAGGATTATAAACAAATAGGCATCAGGGATAATCAAGGAAGTATGACTTCCTGAAAACTTAATTTTTGCGACGGAAACTTAATTAAAACTCTTCCGATCATAGTTTATGCAAGGAAATGTCATCATTTCAGACGGTATACACTACTTTCCTTTTCTCTTCCTTTCTATTATTTCGATTTTTAATGCTTCAGCAATACTTCGAGATTTTATTCGGATAATACTCTTCCGGATTAAAACACAAAACACACCGCATTTGTACTTGTACCACATTGAAATAATGGAAAAGATAATTTGCTGAAATATTTGTTATGCATGTTTTCATATCGAGAGTTATTGGAATGAAATTCCAAGATAAATTTCAAACTGCTTTGATATTCCACTTAATGTTGTAATTCTGTTCGCAGTATCAAAATGGTGTACAAGAATTCTTACTGTCTCTTCTTCCTTCTCTGCGTCATTTCAACAATTACGATCTTTTGAAACGTTCAATTAAAATTTTGCGAGAGATGATTGTTCTAACTTTTCGACATCTTCCACATTCAAGTCACAGCCGTTAATTTAGTGTTTCACATCTTCGTTTGCCACACTGTCAGATTAACTTTCAAAAATTTTAATACGTCGAAATGTTTATTGCCATGAAAATGATAAGAATTACTATATATAAATGTTGACCCCTATTCTCAACCCGTCCTTCCCTACCAACATTTGCAGTAATTTCTTAACTACTCGTGCATTATGTGCCATCTATTGTGTAGATGGTCTATTAACATTGTATTGCAAACCGTCCAAATTTACTTCATCCTTGTCTACCATTACAAATAGCAATAAATTTGCAACAAATTTTAAGCCAAAATCTTTTGTGAATGCGCGAAATTTATATTCCGACTGAAGGCTTCCATAGTTGTAAAACACTTCGCTAAAACTCTCACAACAGTGACACTTATAAATCATTGGCGAGGAAGAAAACGCTATGTATTGGTCGATTTAGAAGCGTTACATTTGATTTCAAAAGATTTTGTTGAGGAATACCCGCTGCCCCTTCTTCACTCTTTGTTTTCTGTGGGTTTGTCCATAGAGACTATAGGAACGAACAATACTGATTTAACTTCAGGAAAATTCTGCAAAATTTAGGAGGCACTACTGCTGTTTGTCGGTTATATGTAAGATCAACTAGCAGTTCGATCATTCTCGATGATGACATTTCTGACAATGGA